ACTGGCCGATAGGAGCGTGACAGCGACACGTCTGTACAACGCGTGACTCACTGGCCGGGGTCACTAGAGTGCAGCTGATACGAGTACAGAGCATCCAATGGAGGAGCCCAATTCAGAATATTCTGGGGGGTGGAGAATGGGGGCGGGGGATCCACAACACAAGCATAAGTGCAGAGCAGCGGGAACTACAAGTCCCATCATACCCCAAATGCCAATAAACGCCGAGCGATCTGCGGTGGAAGAAACGGCGAGCGATCAGCGGAGGAATTAACGCAGCGCGATCAGCGGTGGAATAAACGCCGAGCGATTAGCGGAGGAATAAACGCCGAGCGATCAGCAGAATAAACGCAGAGCGATCAGCAGAATAAACGCAGAGCGATCAGCGGAGGAATAAACGCAGAGCGATCAGCGGAGGAATAAACGCCGAGCGATCAGCGGAGGAATAAACGCCGAGCGATCAGCGGAGGAATAAACGCCAACAGCGAGGTGCCGCACTGCTGATTCATCGCCGCATTCCTGGGTAGGAAGTGTCTCAGCCTGGAGGAGAGGGGAGGGAGAGGTCCCTGGAACCCTATCACCCTTTGCTGATGGGCCCCGTGCCAGGGGCCACCTGTGCCCAGGAAGGGGCCGGGATCTGCACGTTTCATCAATGACACAGGGAACGCCGTGTTTCCAGAAGCCGCGACGTGTTTACCGAAGGCGCCGGCAGCACCTGTCGCTGCGGTCGGCGGGATCCGGGGGGCGGCGCGCGGTGGGGGCCACTCGATGTCCTCGGCTCTGTTTACGAATCACGGGGCCCCGCGGATCAGTTACACGCCAGCTGCTTAACCCCTTATGAGAGCGTGCGTCGTCTGGCTGTCATCCGTGCGTTGTCCCCCATAGGCATGTGCGTAAGAAGCTGCAGCAAGTCAGACAGAGCCCGCCTCCTTTCCTGGCTGCACATCCAGCATCATCTAAATCTTTCCTCCCCAGCCTGACCCCGCCCCTTTCATTCATTGGATTTCAGTTCTGTCAATCATAGGGGCTCAGCATCACACGTGGGCGTTACCTATGCAAATACAGCCTGCCTAGGACCGCCCCCCACTTCTCTAGACTGACACCCACCCATAATGGAATTTTGATATTTGCATAACTCCTCCCACAGGGCTGGATATCTTGTCACCACTTTGCCTGGCTGCACTGACGTCCTGGCCTCAGTACCGCCTCCCTCCCTCCATGCGCACTCCGTGCATCTGCATGGAGTATTACCTGCAGTACTTTTTTTCAGTCTGATGGTCAGCCTCATTAAACTCACTTCCCCTGAGCCCAGGTCATCCTGGCCCCGCCCTCCCAAGGCTGTGACTGGACAGTGAAAGCAGAACAGCGATGAGCTCTCTGTCACTCTGCTCTCCCCTCCTATCAGCATATCATCTATTATGTTATCGTGTCTCGTAGCCCTGATGAAGGCAAACCTGTGAACCCCCGAAACGCGTTCCTACAATATCCATTTATGGCAGCCTCGGCACTCCAGCTGTTGTGGAACTACAAGTCCCATGAGGCACTGCAAGACTCTGACAGCCACAGGACTAGTAGTTTCAGCCATCTTCTGATTTATGGCTTTAGATCTCTTTTATATTATGTTACCGTGACTCATAACCCTGATGAAGGGGGACCTATGGCCCCCGAAACGCGTTGTATCTCATTTATAGCACCTTATCGTGTCACATAGTCCTGATGAAGGGAGACCTGCACTCCGCTGAAACGCGTTAAGTTTCATTCATATTATGTTATTGTGTCTCATAGCACTGATGAAGCGAGCACCGAAAAGTGTCGGATTTTTACCTCTATACATTGCACAAATCAGCTGCAGAGGGGGGGGTGTGTTTTTGGTTTGCCCCGAGATTGGCTTCGTTCATATGTATTCCCTAAAACCCCACACAGGATAGAAATGTACTTTGTGCGCACCAAATACCTTCGCAATCCCAGATGTTGTCATATAAAAGTAGCAGTGACATCATCGCTGTGCTGCACGTACCCCATGGGGGAGGCCTACCTCGGCGCGCCGGCTGTTGTGGAACTACAAGTCCCATGAGCCACCGCAAGATTGACAACCACAGGCATGACTCCTAGAGGCAGAGGCGTGATGGGATTTGTATTGAAAGCTCAGCTGGATTGCCTAACCCTTGAGAGAGACCAGACCAGTCACCCTGCACAAGGAGGGAGAGCGGCAGTGACCGGTCTTTATTACAGGAGGGGGGCGGAGACAAGACCAGTCACCCTGCACAAGGAGAGTGAGCGGTCTTTATTACAGGAGGGGGCGGAGACAAGACCAGTCACCCTGCACAAGGAGAGTGAGCGGTCTTTATTACAGGAGGGGGCGGAGACAAGACCAGTCACCCTGCACAAGGAGAGTGAGCGGTCTTTATTACAGGAGGGGGCGGAGACAAGACCAGTCACCCTGCACAAGGAGAGTGAGCGGTCTTTATTACAGGAGGGGGCGGAGACAAGACCAGTCACCCTGCACAAGGAGAGTGAGCGGTCTTTATTACAGGAGGGGGCGGAGACACGACCAGTCACCCTGCACAAGGAGAGAGAGAACAGCAGCAAAGAAATGACAGTTGGGCCACCCAGTCACACACAGAGGTACTTTCATCCTGAGAACATCTTCTGGTCTACAGACTACAATGGGGGGGGGTCACAACTACAGACCATAGGGGCCCCATAGCAACATTTGACGAGGGCCCCCATGTCAAACCCTTTAAAATCTAAATCGAGGGCGGGTAGCAGACAGGGGAGCCGTCTCTTCCTGTACATCCTGAGAACACCTTTTCTTTGATCGCAAATGCCATAAGGGGTTCAAGGCCAGCAGCAACTTCAGCAAATCACTCGCGGGGGGCCCCCTTCCGCCCCCCGGGCCCCATAGCAGCTGCATGGGCTGCTATGGCTATTGTTACGCCCCTGCCTGGCAGTCGGTCTTTGTGGTTCTAGGAAGACGGACCAGCCGGCTTTGGTGAACCCCCAAAACCTCAGACCTCCAGCAGAAGAAGACCCGACGACAGGCCCGGCCTTGTATCATCGGCCGTTAGTCCCTTGCCCCCCTTGTGTGTTTTTGCTTTGGAAGTGGCAAGCGTTCCTCGCTCTCCCGAAGGACATCTCCACGTCTTGGAGGACTCCCGGCCTCTACCGCCTGGACAGACTCTACGGCCACGAGATATGGCACCTCGACACCTGCGTGACCACTCCTGGAACCCACACGAAAGAACGGCCTCGGTTCCCCCTCAAGTACAGGTGGACGGAAGCAGCAGGTCTTGTTTGCCGAGTTGCGTTGCTGGGTGGCCTAGGAGTCCTTAAATGGAGCTTCTGCTAGCACATCCATGCTGCTGGGTGCCGCCTGCGGTCAGTCCTTGGCATCCGCACCTACGGCGGGCACCTGCTTAAGGGCTTGCAGGAGGGTCGAGGAGTCCATGGATGGTGGGGAGTGAACTGGTGGCATCCGGTCTTGGCTCAGCAGACCAGATTGGGCCAGATTGGGATACAGCATTGGCATAGACCCGGGGTACCAGCATTTATCCAGCATGGGCAGGTAGGCAGAGGCAGAGGGGGGTATGAAATAAAAGGGAAGGCAAAAAGGCGGGTGGTTTGGGTAAGGTCCCATCATGGACAGGTCATCGTTGCTGAACCTGCTGTCCTCCTCTGCGACCTCCATCCTCAACCTCTTTTTTGGAAGCTCATCTTCTTCCTGTTTGATAATCCTGTCCAGGGCCATCGGGGTGGATTTCTCTTCCTTCAAGGCGCCTCCCTGTTCCTGAGCTGCCTCCACCTTGTCCGCCTCTCCTCCATAGCCGCTGTCGGTGTCCGTGTCCGTGCCGCTCTGTTCCCCGGAGCTGAGAGGGGCGGCCCGGCGGATCACCGGGACGCAGTTGGCGGCTTGCGGCTTGGGACTCGGGTTCTCGATGATTTTGGTGGCTCCGGGGCTGAGGTCGGAGGCCACGCGGTGAAGGTGTGCCACCAGCTCGCGCTTCTCTCCGCCTTTTAGGAACCTCATGGCTTCTTCGGCGCACAGCTGGAACCCGGAACGAAACATTTCTTCCCCCGAAGATCTGTTACCGTCGGAGGGGCAACCTGGAAGAAGAAGAAGAACCGGGTGAGCAATGGAAGGTGAACCGGGCCTCCCGCTACGTCCCACACACAGGCCTCGGTGTAGGTCCTTCTACCACCTACATTCAGAGCCATGCGGCCAAGAGACCTCCCATATTATAGAGCTGCCACCCACTCAACTGGTCCAGGAAACTGGGCCTCCCGCTATGCCCCACACACAGGCCTCGGTATAGGTCCTCCTACCACCTACATTCAGTGCCATGCGGCCAAGAGACCTCCCATATTATAGAGCTGCCACCCACTCAACTGGTCCAGGAAACTGGGCCTCCCGCTATGCCCCACACACAGGCCTCGGTATAGGTCCTCCTACCACCTACATTCAGTGCCATGCGGCCAAGAGACCTCCCATATTATAGAGCCGCCACCTACTCTACTGGTCCAGGAGACCATTGTGATGGAACATCTACATATACAGAGCTGTCTCTGGAACAGGAAGAGAGGAGGGAATCTTCAGATGGGGACACCTGTTTTTGGTGAGAACTGGTCTACAGGGAATTTCGCTCACTTCCTGCTGTATCTCTATGACAGGAAGTGAGGGTCATGTCTGCAATTGGATACAGACATTGGAAAACTAGATGGAGCCGAGGGGCATAAGAACTCCTATGCTCCTCAGCGCCATCTAGTGGCTCCATCTTATAGAAGCGTTTCTATGCTCCTCAGCGCCATCTAGTGGCAGCCATTGTTATAACGTGCTAAAAGATACAGCTGAGGACCCATTTACAACACTGTGTGGCGCACTGTCTGTAAAATGCGTGTTTTACCACAAACGCAACGTGTGTTGCATTGCCGCTCATTCTGCATTGGACCCAATGCGTTACCACAATGCACTGCAGCACACGTCCATTATAACTCAAGATGTGAACGGTCAGTGTGCTGCATTGATAAAAGTGTGGCATGCGGCATTTTTGGTGCATTGCGTCCCATTCGAAGTGAAGGGGCTTCTTAATGCAAAGCATGTAAAATGCGTGATCACACGATAGGTACGAGTCTGTCCTACAGGGGTGCTGTGTAGGTGGCTGGATTTACACTTTAACTTTAGTGCTGTGTCAACATTCAGCCTCCACTGAGAAATGACCTCTGCGTGCACAGAGTGGTATACAGACTTGTCCCCCAAATGCATTTTCCACTGCAGATTACTCAGCAATGGCAGCGTGAATGTAGTGCGAAAGGCACAACGTATCATCTGTTCCGAGATACAGATCTGGCGTCTATCACGGCTCATTTACTTCCGCTATTGTCTGAAGGGCCTTCGTGACCCAGATAACAAGATTCTTCCATTCGAATGTGCAAAGGTGGAAGGGGGACGGCAGAAAGCGAAGGCCTGCGCTCACCATTCTGGAGGTTGAGGATCTGCTGCTGCTGCTGCTCTATCAAGCTGGACAGGGACTGGACGTGTTTCAGCGTCAGCTCCAAAACCACGGCTTTCTCCAGATGTCCGAGCGTCTGCAACAAAAAGAAAAGGGAGAGGAGTTTACGATTGATGCGTCTCCACCCCGGACAGGATTGCAAGTGAAAGGAGAGAGTGACTCAGAGGGATGAATCTCCTCTTACGTAACAACGCAAGGTGAGGAGGAAGCATTGTACATTGCACAGCGCAGCTAGGAGGACTGCGATGGCCCACTCCACCCAACCCGCCAATCCGTATACATAGGAAGAAGTCACTCCAGCGCAAGTTCAGCTCAAGTTTATTGACCTCTGTGCAGGGCCGAACTTACTCTCTCTGCTGCCCCAAGGCCAAGTTCCCCAATGCACCCCCCTACCCACCAACCTCCGACATGGAGAATGGCGGACCAGCAGGCTGCATACAATACACCTCCAGTATCACTTGTACATAACAAGAGGTGGCTACGCCGCTGTACATTTAACTCTGCTTGCCCAAAGCAGGG